AACACACACACACACACACACACACACACACACACACACACACACACACACACACACACACATTTTAGGAAAATCAAAATCAATTTATGAAGTTATCTCATGTGATGTTCTCTCAAATATTTCAGTTGTATTGAAAATTCAACATTCAAGATGACTTTGGGAAACTAGTGAATGCAACTAGTGAAAGATAACTTGCAGACATGGAGGAAATGAGTGAAGAGTGAAAAGTCTATTAAAGGGGTCATATGATGTTGCTAAAAAGAACATTATTTTGTGTATTTGGTGTAATGAAATGTGTTTATGCGGTTTAAGGTTCAAAAAACACATTATTTTCCACATACTGTACATTATTGTTTCTCCTCTATGCCCCGCCTTTCTGAAACGCGTCAATTTTTACAAAGATCATCGTTCTGAAAAGTGAGTTGTGCTGTGATTGGCCAGCTATCCAGTGTGTTGTGATTGGCCGAATACCTCAAGCGTGTGACGGAAATGTTACGCCCCTCACCATACTGTGATGATGCCCTGTCTGGCCGGAGCGACGAGACAAAAACATGAAAACCCATTATAAACGAGGCATTTGTTGCATCCAGTGGGGACATAATTACGGATTATAATTACTTATACTGTCTTTTTATGCATTGCATAAAAGATAAAACCATGTCTGCATTTGTGATCGGAGAAATGACAAACAACAAGCCCTACTCTACACTGCTCAAAACTTGCGTTTGAATCATCAGTGGCAAATTCTTTAAATATGAAAACATACTTTTCAGGAGTCAGCCGGCATTGTAGTCTACTCTCCCAGGATCAGGAAACAGTCCTCCATAAAATGTGCTGCACACATCTGAATATTTGGGTTGAAGTGTTCTGGAAAAGTGTTGTAAATACAACTTAACCACTGATTTCTAGTCGTGACCTCTTTTGGAAGACCAAACAAACACACAGCGTCACACACGGTGGCCTACAGTGAGCAGAGGTGGCGGCCTTGAGAACGGCACGGCCGGCGGATTCGACGAAGGAGCGTCCGGTGGGCTTGCGGCACATGTGACGACCTCGGGCTGGACTCCGCTTTGTCCACGGTGAAATCCGATCCGGCGATCCACAGCGCAAAGTTGTTGTATTTCCTCAGCAACCAGCACGGATCAGCTCCAGGCATGACGAAGCAGATATCGTCCTCTTTTAGTTTCGTTTCACAACGAAACACACGGCGTCTCCACGACATGGCGGCAGCAACAACAAAACTACAGCGAGAATAAAAGTTACGCCTTCTTTCTTTGCGTGCACATTTGGCCGGTGTTATGCAAATCTTCCCACATAGTGAGGTAGATATGTGGGGGCGTGTTAGAACGAGCCGTTTTAGGGGGGCGTGGCTGACTCTTAACTTTTATAAAGAATATCTCTTTGGTTTTGAGACTTTAGTCTTTGCAACTTCAGGGATCTTATCTATGCACCAAGAGCTTGTAACACTCCAAAGAGAAAGGAAAACTTGAAATCGCATCATATGACCCCTTTAACTTAACCTGTGATATAAACTAATTTATTACTCACTATTAACAACACATACTACATACTTTACTTTTCTTAAGCACTAAACACACACACACACACACACACAGTGCAAACTGCATGCATAATGATGCCGATTCATCGATAGTGTAAAAATCCCTTAATATTAATGCAAACTTCACACCTGAACACAACAAACCTACGTTTATATATTTTTTTCATTAAAGATAAAACAAACGTTAGACTATGTGCTATCTGACCATACGTGGCTACTCGGTGATAGCCTAAGGGCTCAATAAAAAAAACATTATCTGCACATTATCTAATCCTCCCATGTGACTGGTGAATGTGCAATGTCCAGCCACAGATTTTTATAACACTGTAAAAATTCACCTTAAATGGCTATTCTTTGTTTTACAGATTGGCGATGCTTGATTGCATATATATTTTTAATTGTGTACTTTTTTTGTGATTTTCCCATGTGTTTTATTTTATGTATGCTCTGCATAAATACTTACTATATATCATTTAAGCGAGATAGCCTGCTCTTGATATTGTTCAAGTGCACGCGGACACGCCCCCTTGTTCCCGTGGAAACGTGAGCACTGCGCACTGTGCTTAGTTTCACTTTCACTTTAGAACGAAGGACGGCCGAGTCTTTGCTACAGTATCTTATCCTGGCGAACGCATTTATACAATCATGGACAGGTAAGTGTTTGTAAACTTCTAAGTGTAAAATACCGTAACTAGTGCTGTACATTTAACCTCAAGTTGCACTGCATTTCCTGTTCTTTACGGTATGTTGGAACGCCAGTTGTAAAGCAAGTTTTCTGCAAAAGCAAGAAACTGTGTTTGGAGATGTATGCTCAATTTGCGTAACAAATAACGCTTAACCGATTCAGCTAACGTCTACTCTCTCTTTTTTGTTGTTCGTTCTGGCTTGTTTACTTGCATTATAGAAGAACTCAAAATCGTAATATATTAAATTAAATAAATGAACGAATGACCTTATGGAATAAGTGTGTGTGTGTGTGTGTGTGTGTGTGTGTGTACAGGTTTATATATCCTGGTGGGGACTTAAACCTGAATACACACAGACTCATGGGGGCTCGTGTCAAGGTGGGGACCTAAATTGTGGGCCCCACGGGTACAAAAGCTTATAAATCATACAGAATTAAGTTTTTTGAAAATCTAAAAATGCAGAAAGTTTCCTGTGAGGGGTAGGTTTAGGGGTAGGGTTGGTGTAGGGCAATAGAATATACGGTCTGTATACAGTAGAAAAACCATTACGCCTATGGAGAGTCCCCACAAGGATAGCTGACCAGACATGTGTGTGTGTGTGTGTGTGTGTGTGTGTGTGTGTGTGTGTGTGTGTGTGTGT